GAGAGAGAAAGAGAGAGAGAGAGAGAGAGAGAGAGAGAGAGAGAGAGAGAGAGAGAGAGAGAGAGAGAGAGAGAGAGAATGAGTAAATAGGGTCTGGGGAAAGAATTCCTGACACTAATTTCTCAGTATAGTCCGTGGTTACCATTTTTGTCCTTAATATTTTTTGCTCCTTTTGTGAAGTTTGACTTAAACTGATCAAATGTCCAGTTAAGCAGGAGTTGATACTAGTACACTACTACTCACGTTTTGCAAAATCTGAATGCTTCCTCATGACTTCCCATGCACTTTTGTACATGCATAGTCGGTTGTGCCGATTGGGGGCCAGATAGTTGTGTCGTAAATGTTTGGGGGCTGTGGTTGGGTCATCACAAAACTCCACGATCTGTTTGAACAAAATATGACGTTGTGTTAAAAAAAACGGGGTCATTTTCACATTTAGCAAGCAGAGCAGCAAAAGCAGTCTTCACGAACAGTTAAGGACAACTCAGGATAGTAGGTAGTATTTTCAAAAAAATCATTTAAAAAAAGTAATCAGATTTGTCTTGTAAAATTCGGTAGCAAGGCTAAAGGGTCAATAGTGAATACGGTAACCACTGTGTGAGTGGCATTGCGCGTCATGCAGCATGCTTGGCGCGTGTGAAAATCTGCAATTTCCTGGACTGAGTTTCAAACGTCAGTGAGTGATACCTGGGGATTTCTGTATGGCAAAAACGAGATGCATGGGGAAGAATGCTTCTCTGGCTACGAACAGTGCTCCCTTGTCTGCCTACATAAGACTGCGTTCCAGCTCTGTTTTACAGTATTACCTCGCCAAGCCACATGCCACCACGACAAAAGTTAAACGAATTCGACAGGACCCGGGCAATTGCCTGGCTGCAGTATGGAGTTGGTGTACGCGAAGTGCCACGCATACTTCAGTTATCCCACCTCACCATCATACGGCTGAGGCAGTGGTTCGCGGTGACAGGAAGACTCCTAGAGCGGCGTCGCAAAGGTCGTCCCAAGAAAACGACCGTAAGAGAGGACCTCTACATCCAACACCAAGCCACACAGAAGCGGACTAGCTCTTCCAGCGTCTTCAGGCGACGTCTGCGAGCTGCCACCTACACAACAGTCAGTTCCCAGACAATACGTAATTGCATTCATGACGTCAACCTTCGTGCTCGTCGTCCAGTCAGAAAACCTACGCTGACCCAGAACCAGCGAGCCAACCGTCAAATCTGGTGCACTGCGCACCAGAGGTTGACAAATGCCCAGTGGACAGAGGTCTTGTTCACTGATGAATCTCGGTTCTGTTAGACACCCAATGATGGCCGAACCCGCATCTGGAGGCGTCCATGGGAGCAGCTTGCTGCCAATGCAGTTCAAGAAGTGGTCCCGTTTGGAGGCGGCTCCATTATGGTTGGGGGGTCAGCAGGTATCACAGAACCCCCCCCCCTTTACCAGCCAACAGTCCAGACCTCAATCCTATTGACCAGTTGTGGGCTGAGCTTGGTCGGAGAGCTCGGGAGAACCACCATATGCCAGCCAACCGACAGTAGCTGCTTGGATGGCTACAACAAGAATGGAACCACATTCCCCAGGCCTTTCTGGCACGCCTGATTATCTCTATGCGCCAGTGGCACCTTGGCTGCCTTGCCGTGAATGGAGGACACACGCGCTTCTGAGAATTCTATTGACATTCACGAACTTAAACTAGTCATTTTCTTTGATATTGCTGAGACTTTTTGAGACCCTTTCTTTTGTGATTTTTTGATTTTGAGGGTGGGTCTCTTTTGAGCGCTGGGATTTACGCATTTCGGTTTCAATTGTGATAAAATGTCTTTATTGCACTTATGGATTGATGAATTAAATGTATGTCAGAGAAGGAATAATTTGATTTGCTGGCTTTTAGTTTGCGTGCACTTTTGCAAGTGGTCCTTTTCGTTTTGTGAAGACTGTATATTAATTTAATGGCGAGTCAGTACGATGCAGATATTCCCAAATTTCTGCTCAAACGGAAATGGAAATGGACTGGTCACATCGATTGAATGAAGGATAACAGATGGACCAAAAAAAGAACTGAAAGTCGATCAAGAAGAGGGAAACGATTAAGAGGAAGGTCAGAAATATAGTGAAAATTGACATCACAGAGCGGATGTGTACAAACTGGATACGGAACATAGGCGACAGAGCAGAGTGGGGGTAATTGTTGGAGGGCTACATCCTTCAGTGGATGGAGAATCAAAGATAAAGGTTTGGCACGATACGTCATCCGTCAAGGTCTCATTTGAGGCCTCTCTTCTTAAAGTTACCGCTCAATGTAAAAAAAGAAGTAAAGCGGCTGGACTGCACTAGCAGGGCATACCACATCTAGAACGCTATTCTTTCTTTTAGATTTGCAATCCTCAAGGGTGCACTTTTAGCTCAGTTAGTATCATGATACATGGCTAGGAGCAGCAAGAACAACAGACACCATTGCTGCAACGCAAGACAGTGAAGTGGAGGTCCATGATCGCCCACGCCAGTCGGTAAGGCACCAGATGATGATGAGTATCATGATCGACTACGGAGCAGATGTCCCTGATTCGAATCTGAATTTGGGTTGTTATATGGAGTTGTAAAGCTCCCCACTCACTTGGCTAGGTCCTTCCAGAAATGGATGTCAAATTCAGACATCCCGCCTCTGAAATAACCTAGCAGTAATGAAAGGGGTGTTGAATCTGCAATGATCAACAACATTTATTGAAATGGTTTGTTTTCAAAAAAGAAATATTGCCCATAGAGAATGTACACTTCAACCTATAGTTCAGAGCTACTTCGTAACGTTTTCAGAAGCGGGTAGATGAGGATAAATTTTAATGTTCAAAATCTAGCTAAATTGCAAAAGAATAGTGAACATGGGCGCCATACGTTAGTTTGTTGGGTTTTTTAAAATTAGAAACGGAGAGGTTGCTCTGAAATGACTAAAAGAAAATAGACATCTGCTTTGGTAGGTATAAATATTTTTTTGATGTTTAGGGGGGGGGGGGGGGGGGGGGGGGGCTTTTGTGTTGTAACACAAAACCAGAAAATAATAAAATTGCATCCTTCACTTACACTATTCAAATACTGCATGAACATCAAAGATGAAGCTGCTTTGTTGGCAGCCATTCTTGGGAAAAACCGGCAATCTTTTTCAGGTTTCCCCGTGAAGAAGTCGAAATTACAGGGTTGGCTCGTATACTCATTCAAAATGGAGCCCTCAACCTGCGTCGAGCATCTGAAAAAAAGATGGGTAGACCCGTAAAAGCAGTTAGCATATTGCTCGCAAATAAAAGGATCTACGTCAATTTTTACACAAAGGAAATAATCATGATGTTGTCAAAGTTAAAAAATCAGGCCATAGACTTTTATCATAATGATATACTCCTAGAAGGCAGAAAAGAAATAAAATGAGACTCAGGATATTGGGAAAACACCAATCTGGTTGTCCAATAATATCGATGATGGCTAAAGCTTTGTACTTGATACAGCTTTGGACGATAGACACTGAGAGGAGGAAGCCTAAATACTACCTGCTTCCCTCCAGAAAGCACAATAGAGAAGATGGCATGTGAACTATGGAAGTTTGCCAATCTCTGCTCATTAAACTTCTGCATGTCTCTGACACTGACATGTTGTTTAATGGATGATTCAGATTGTTACGAGCATATAGCTTGCTGTTGAACGGCACTTTGCGTTATAAAAATGCTATTTCAAGGTAGTGGAGAGGGGGGGGGGAGGGGAGGGGTTATATCCCGAAAGAATATTAATATATTGGAAAACGTGCGCACGGCTATTGAAAGGAAAACTCACTTCTTTACAATGCCATCTTAGAAGACGGACTTTGCCAAGATTAGATCTAAACGAAACTAATGAAAAACTGAAAATTAAACTACTCTGACTTCAGGCTTCTCAATAGAACTGTGCACCCTTTAAATGATTCTGAACCACCATTAATTTTGTCAAATTCAAAAGTTAGGTGGTTCCGAAGTTTTAGGCGGCCAAAGTGACGAACTTTCACAAATATAATATGTAGCCTATAGATTGTTTTTAGTATTATACATGTATTAGTATTTATTATACGCATTATAATTATTATTATTATTTGCTTCTTCTTCTTCTTCTTCTTCTTCTTCTTCTTCTTCTTCTTCTTCTTCTTCTTATTATTTTGCCTCGCGGAGCAGAACGTTAGTTCAATACCCATGTGGGAAGTATATTTCCCTGTGTATCCAGCTGGAGTAAATTAATGTACTCGTAACAATTAGATGTATTTAATAAATTTTGTGTCGGCTCTGACATGGACGGCCAAAACAGGAAGCATCCCAATAATCAAAGTATAACTGTAGACGTTTTACGTCCTCATCGACTTTTTAAAAATCATTTTAGAGACCTGCCTGTCAGAGCCAACCCAGGCTGAGACAGACGTAATGCATAAGCACTCACTCGACAAAAATTCTCCCTTTACAGGAATCGAGCTTATCTCTTTTGCATGCGACGGCGATGCGACTTTTAACCGTTGAACCACGGTAAACGCTAGTGCCCGCGTGATGCTTGTTCTTCTTTCTGTCGACATACATACATACATACATACATACATACATACATACATACATACATACATACATATATACATACACGCACTCATGGACGCACTCACGGACGCACGCACGCACGCACGCACGCACACGCACACGCACGCACGCACAAGCACACACGCACGCACGCAGGCATACATACATACATACATATGCGCTCACGCACACACAAACACACTCACACACACACACGCACGCATTCACACACTTACTTACACACACGCTCACACACACACGCACGCACATGCGCGAAGACGCATACACAAGTAAATTATGTAGGTCAGCAATTTATGTAACACCGATTTCATCGTAATGTTATGAATGAGGAGAGTTTCGTTTATCCTTTTTTTTCTTTTCCTTTTATTGTCTTTACTTCCAACTTGTTAATCACTTTTTCACACTTTTTCAAGGTTTTTACCTTAAATAAGTAAAATTAAGTAAGAGTCACCAGAAACCCACTTGCCTTCTCACGAGTGGCTCGGATTAAATATGTGATTACGGTATTAAAAATATATGAAAAGCGGGCCATCCTGTCATTCTTTCGCGACAACGCACAGCCTCCACAGTGAAACGCTCGGTCTACACAGAATTCTGCGATCCCTACTAATCAATGGCATCTTGTTGACCTGGGCAAAGGCTCACCTATAATTTATTACTGGGGGCTCTCGTGGCCTATAGAGGTTAAGGTGTTCGCCTCTTATTCAAAGGTCCGGGGTTCGAATCCGAGTGGCGACGGAAAAATTTCTTTTCTAAAATAGTCTCCTTTCACCTTCTTTCCTGCTCTCCAGCAATGTTCTGTCGTCTGCTTTCGTCTCCACTTTCTGCCCCCACCCCTTCACATCCTTTGCCTCCGCCCCCTCCTCTGGGCACCTGACTCTTTCTGTAGCCTTTCTACTGCTACTCCTTGGCTCCTTCTTACTGCTGTCTTTCAACCACACCTCTGATCTTCTGATAAGAAAGATCTACACATCTAGTGGTGCACGTTAAAGATTCCTTGGTTGTCTCAAATCGATAAGAGTAGGCTTCGGCCACCACCCAGGCAATATTCAAAATTTCCTGCCAACTGAAAAATATTTAATGTGTCCCGCGCGCTCGTATGGCCGTAAGCAGTTGTGAACGCCGTTTAACACTTACCCCCCAAAAAATAATAAAAAAATAAAAA